AACTTACCTGGTCATCGGTCAGGGTTGAAAGGTATTTCTGTAGTTCGGGGATATTTTCTTCATCTGACAGTGAGACAATTTTATCCATTTCTGCTTTCATTGTCCACCCACAGATTGACACAAGTGGCTAGCAACTGTAGAATAAGATAGAAGTCTATCTCGTAAATCTCAGTAAGTTTATGAACGTTATTATTTTTATTTTACTTCTACTTATCGATTATCTAGTTGCATTTAATCCTGGGCATCCTGTTTAAATTAGTTGAAGGTAAATTACTCCGTAATATTATAACTTTATGGCTGTTGTGTTTCTAAAAAGTTTCAAGCGAACTTCCCGCCAGACGACACTTCCTGTTTTGCTTTGTGGTTGCCATGTTCAACTCAGACACCCTCAATCACGTTATAATCCAGGTCACATTCCCCTGTACGGCAAAATGCGTATAATGTAAAAAAATAGTTTTCCAGTAACTTGGAATCATATGCTAGCATAACACAATTTCCATATAGTTTCATATCTGAACGGAAGGAGTAGTTTGATCAAACTTACATTTGGCGGAAAACAGTCATCACTTCAGCCGTGGCAACCACGTTTGCAACCACGAGGTTTATAAATGGGTTACTTGTCGGTAAATATTTGGACATACGCTTACTGTTTATGCATTCCAGTTAAATATCATGTATCGTTGTTTTGGTTAATGTCTTACACGTAATGTTTGGTTTCTGGAAATAAATCTCGCTAGGATCTTCTAACTTTAGGTCAGGAATAACCAACGCGGGCTTTTTCTTAGTGTTTCTTGAAATAGTGACGCGATAATGATTCATACCAGATCGGGCCAGTGGCGCAATGGATAACGCGTCTGACTACGGATCAGAAGATTCTAGGTTCGACTCCTGGCTGGCTCGTGAAATCTTTTTCGGTTTTGTGAAATTAAACTTTTGCTCCCCTGTTTGCTAAATGTGTTACTAGTTTAGTGGCTGCATTGAAGTAGCGAATGCCATTGATTCAAACATCTAAAACCATGTATAATGTATAATTATACATATATGAAAATTATAAGACCATGTATTGTCCACAAAGGTATTTTTGCGTAAAAACTATATAATTGGGATACTTTAAAACCGGATAATATGTATAGATTATTATTTTGTATTGAACACCATATTTTCAACCTGTTTCATTTTCTGAGGCGCGAGGAGCCCGATGTTAAAATGTCCACCTTTAGAGTTTAAACAAACATGTTTGGGTTTTTTTTAAAGTAACACAGTTGTTTTTATTGTATTAATGCCGAATTATTAATTGTGTCACTTTTGGCTACTCTAATAAGGTAGGTTCTCTGTAGCAGTCTTGATATATAATGAATAAATAAAAAGTTGGGTCACAGCATGCAAGAAACACTATCTGTCTCTATGTGACAGATAAAAGGAGAAAGCCTCATATGATGAAGCACTCTTTCTGTCTCTTGGCTCTTTGCTCACATTTCTGAGAATCTATGTGGTGTTGTGTCGAGTGGACCATGAAGTTCTATGCAAAGCAGACTTTCTCTTTTCTGATATCAGTTTTATTCCTCTGTGTTATTGCAGATCTTCAGGGTAAGTAGGAGAAAACCTTTTTTTAGGAAAATGACCGCTGTGACAACACTTAAATGATGTCTAATTTACGCCTTTGTATTTGTTTATTCTACATATAGTGCATGTTTTTCATTGTTTGTTTGTTTGTTTAAAAAAGATCTGTTTAATTCTAGCACTAGTAATAAATCATCACTCAGTGGTATTATGACAATAATATGCATAATACCGCAAATAAGAATGAGAACAATGTCTCTCTTTGAAAAAGATCCTAACAACATTATTTATTTAAATCAAAAGATATCAAACAATCATCACTCAGTGGTTTTATGACAATGACAGTCATAATAAACTGACCATTAAATATCACATGTACTTAATGTTATTCAGATTGTAGCTATATTTTCTGTTTAGATATGTAGCTCAAAGAGGAATGAACAAAAAGTTGTGAGTTTTTTGTACCTATTCTCATTTTGAGGGGTTTAGGTGATATCTTTTCCATTGTAGCCTATTTATTGTTTAAAGATAAAAAATAGCAAAGAATCAAGCAGGGTGTACCCATGGGAGAGGATGGAAGATAAACTCTTTTAGTAAGACACGGTACAAGTGTTGCAGAGATTATAGGGACATTTACTGTAAAAAAAAAAAAAAAGGCAGAGAAGTGGAATTTTTCCCCAGTAATAAATTATGTATTAAGTATGACACTTCAGATTAGATTTTTTAAACCAATTTAAGCCAAAAAAAAGGTGCTGAAATTCTAATCAGAGTGTGTGTCTGTAATCTGAGCAGCACAGCACCCTGACGGGTGAAAGAACACGTTTCCTATTGCATGCCATTCTGAACATGAATAAAGCTTTGAAGCAGCGGTTTGCCACTTTCCCTTAATACTGAATTTATTTAAATAACACAGGTCAACATGTCATAATCATCACAGGTATTTTTATTTGGGATCTGTAGTTCTTTTCATGCTGATTTCAAATTTGGGTTTACTTTTTTGTCCAGTTATTTCAGTACCTTGCTCAAATATTTCCGCACCGCAAAAATGAAGGTGCATCAGCACAAAGACTGACAGACTCAAGAATAGTTTCTTCTCAAAAGCCACACTCAAGGTCACCTGGTCCAGCCCTAACTATATTCTTTAGCAAAAAGGAAAGTTTTAAGCCTAATCTTAAAAGTAGAGATAGTGTCTGTCTCCCGAATCCAAACTGGAAGCTGGTTCCACAGAAGAGGGGCCTGAAAACTGAAGGCTCTCCCTCCCATTCTACTTTTAAATACTCTAGGAACAACAAGTAGGCCTGCAGAGCGAGAGCAAAGTGCTCTAATAGGGTGATATGGTACTACAAGGTCATTAAGATAAGATGGGGCCTGATTATTTAAGACCTTGTATGTGAGGAGCAGGATTTTGAATTCAATTCTGGATTTAACAGGAAGCCAATGAAGGGAAGCCAAAACAGGAGAAATTGCTCTCTCTTTCTAGTCCCTGTCAGGACTCTTGCTGCAGCATTTTGGATTAGCTGAAGGCTTTTCAGTGAGTTTTTGGACATCCTGATAATAATGAATTACAGTAGTCCAGCCTGGAAGTAATAAATGCATGAACTAGTTTTTCAGCGTCACTCTCTGAAATGAGATATTCTAATTTTACTAAAGTAGCTGTAGATAATATTACATCTGTGGGATGATTATTGGTAATTTTTTCTCTAATGATAAAAATTTTATTTGTGAAGAAGTTCATGAAGTCATTACTAGTTAACGTTAAAGGGATGGTTGGCTCAAAAGAGCTCTGACTTTTTGTCAGCCTGGCTACAGTGCTGAAGAGAAACCTGGGGTTGTTCTTATTTTCTTCAATCAGTGATGAATAGTAAGATGTTCTGGCTTTGCGGAGGGCTTTCTTATAAAGCAGACAAACTATTTCTCCAGGCTAAATGATGATCCTCTAGATTTGTGACACGCCATTTCCTCTCCAGATTACGAGTATCTGCTTTAGGCTACGTGTTTGAGAATTATACCACGGAGTCAGGTACTTCTGATTTGAGGCCTTAGTTTTCACAGGAGCTACAGTATCCAGAGTCGTACGTAGTGAGGAGGTAAAATTATTAACAAGATATGACTCATGACTCCTTCTATGACTGCTATAAGGCCACTGATACTCTAAGAATGCACACACTTCAATGTTAGACTTTTTCTACGGTCTGTATATCATATCATCTTGTCATAAGTCTTTAATATTGGAGGCATTACAGCAACCGCTCACTTTTCCTCATGTTGTGAGGAAAAGGCTCCGATCAAACTGAGGCATGATGGTGATCATGTGTTAGGGTTGGGTCTGGTATAAAAGGTCATCTGCTTTAAAGACATAAATAAAAGTGTCTTATAAAAAGATGTTTCAGTCAAAAAAATGCATTTTGATCTATCAGCACTGGAGATGAGCACATTTCAGGGAACTTTGGCCTCCTGGACCAGGTTGAAGCTCTCAAGTGGATCCAGCAGCACATTCACAGCTTTGGAGGAGACCCAGGATTAGTTACCATATTTGGAGAGTCTGCTGGTGGAGTGAGCGTGTCTCTTCTGGTAAGAATCTACAGTTAGAGGAACTTTATATAAACCTTTTCACTCTAGAACAAAAAGTAATATGTGATGTGTTACTTGAATCACCAGCTCCTGTCACCACTGTCTGATGGGCTGTTTCATCGTGCCATTGCTGAGAGTGGCACAGCTGCTGTCGATACAGTTGTGGCAGATAATCCTCTACCAATGGCGCAGGTTAATTATCAATATTCTTCCTTTTTAGAGTGTGTTAAAAACATTTTTGTTGCAGAATAAGGTAACTCTGGGAATGGATTTGTTTTGACAAATATTTGACATTTCTATTTTATATCTGACCTCGGGCAGTTGCAAATGCATCTGGCTGCAGCCTTGAAAGCACAAAGAAGATCAGTGACTGCATGAGAAACCATGATATTGATACTATGATGGGTTTTACACAGGTGAGGTAATGGGTGCAAACATGATAGAGAATGCTGAATATGATTATTATGTCTTCTACAATATTTCTTTGAAGCTTTCCATTTCTCCCTCAGCTCTGTTCATGCTATCACATCTTTCACTTTTGTACATTTTACTCTCTTAGGGATCCAAATTTGAGATTTCAAGTAAATGTTGATGGACATTTCCTGACTAAACCTGTGGATGAGCTGTTTCGTAAACATGAACTCCATGCTGTTCCATTCATGACTGGTGTCAATAATGATGAAGGTGGATGGATGCTTGCATCAGTAAGTGTTGTAGAAGCCTGTGAATAAAGAGCCCAGTGGTCACAAACAGAACTTATGCCAGCAATTGTGAAACTTTAATAGTGGCTTTGTATTTTTTTTAATTTTTTGCTCCCCAAAACTGGACAGAAGGACTAGATCG